AGTGGCAAGTATATATATATATCTATTACTGCTTTGAGCTTTACTTCGTTTGCACATAACAAATGTAATCAAGCCGTGATCGCTTGTGCCTAATACAGTGAGAAATTCATCTTCACCTGCCAGTGTGAGGTCAAAGGTGGAATTCCCTTGTGTTGGAGGCAATATTTTTTTGCATTAGGAAATTATCTTTTTTTCCCCCGGAAATTCTAAGGATATTTTAATACTAGCAGCTCGAGACCTCCAGCATCCACCGCTCAGTTTTTTATTAGATATGATGGACATGGCTGCTTAAAGAGGCAGATTGTGTCGAGTCCCTGCTGCAGCGTGGCGGTCTGCTGCAGACCCTTCTTGCTTCATACTTTATTTCCCGGGATATTGATCCAGAAACACTCTGGATCATTTATTTCCTTGTTGCTAATGACTTGGAACCAGCCTGAGACTGCCGGTGCTCGGGAGAAGGAGATACCTGCTCCCAAACCAGTCCCAGCGGGATGTGGAGCAGGACCGGTGGATCAAGACCTCCAAGCACAAATGGAAATCAAATGGAGAAGGTGGTTATAACGCAGGGCTGCAATACTCTGGCCAGAAAAATCTCCCTGCCACCCTGCGGCATTAGTAGCGGGGTTGTGGTGTGCATTCAGCAATTCCACCTTGTGCCGGTGGTTTTTGCTGCTGCAGTTAATCTCTTTGCATCCTGTGATTTCCCAATTGTATTTTTTGGGGGGGGCGAGTGCGCAGCGATGCCCTCGTTCCTCCTCTGTTACGTTACCAGACTGATGTGCCGCTGGCTTGGCTGCCCAGAGTACCCCCCAGGAGCTTTTCCCTTTGAGATGGAGGTCAGCTGAACTCTACAGCTCCACCACGGTTGGCCTCACCCTGGGAAAACACAAACCTCCCTACACCGCTTAAACAACCTGCTATTTAATTCCACATTTAGCTGCCTTTTTCCTTTCTTTCCCTGTGAAACAGGGGTGATTTTTTTTTAAGATCACTTTGATGTGCTTCCCCTTCAGCATCATTTATTTGGGCATCCCCAGGAGCTGCCTGCAATTTGTGAGGTCCTGCGAAGCCCTGCTGCTAGTGCCAAAAAAAACATCTTCCCCCATGGATGGTGGCCACTGAGTTGATTAGCCTTCGAATTGCACCTCACGGCCAGGCTTGGGGAGGCCAGCACACCATCTCTCCTCCTCCTCTCCCCATCCTCCGTTGTGCTTTGCAGGATCAAATTCCCTGAAAAAGCTGCCCGCCTTCCTGGGCTGCTGGAGATGTTTTTCTGGGCAGCTGGACTTTTAGAGATACATCCCACAGTTCTCATGCTGAGGATGCAGTAGCAGCATGGACTCCTCCAGCTAATCCTCTCTCTCCCTTTGCTCTGTGGCAGGTTTTTTTCTTTCTTAACCGTAGCCAAACTTCCCAGCAGGTCTTCTGCGAAGGCTGGGTCTCCCCGATACCCTTGTTTTTCTGAACCATGTTGTACATCAAAACCCGTTGCCTGCATCCCCATCCCTCCCTGAGCTGCTGTTGGGCTTTCTTTGCAGGGCCAGGTGGGTTTCTGCATAGAAGGGCAGGATGGGATCCGCTGGAGATCTGTGCCTTTCCACCAGTGTTTTTGTCTGCAAGGCACACCAGAAATAGGCAGGTCCTCATTTTATTCTCTATATTTTGCATCGCTCCCGCTGCCCAATGCTATTTTGCTTTCCCCCATCCGGGCTCAGATACTTATCATAAGTTGATTTGCTTTTTTTTGGTATTTTTTTCATCATTATTCTTTTATCCCAAATGTCATCTCACTCCCCTCATCCACACATGCACCAGGTTATTAAAAAAAACCTTGACAGCCCTATCTAACACCATCTGTACCTTTCGGGGAAATGCCTCCGGAGTTAGTCAAATGTACTGGAGAAATCCTACCGCGCTTTAAGGGCAGCCCAGCTCCAGCCTCGGCATGGCAGCATCTGCGGAGGTCAACCTGGTGCTCGCCGGTGGCAAGAGCATCTTCCAGAGAGAAAAGCCCACTGGTATTCAGGGCTGGTGTGAAATCTAATCTGGAATTTCCTCTCCCTCAGCCTCCTGCACATCAGCAGCACCGAGGAAATATGAACTGGTCTGGAAAGGACTCCCTAAGGCAGTAAGGACTGCAGATGATTGGGGTGTGAGTTTTTATTTTAAACTAAATCCTGGCCTTTGGATAAAGTCTGTGAAAACCAGATTTATTTGGGGATAGGCTCAGGGACAGCAGCGTGGCTGTGTCGTGGTCGGCCACCATGCCACGATCGCCCTGGTATCTGTAATCGTCCATCCAGCCCCTTCATCTGGTATTCCCACAGTCTTCTTTATTTGGCTGCCAGCATGGGTTTTGGCAATTTTCGGAGCCTCCTGAAGCCCATCTTAAACCCTTTAATAACTAAGATGGCTCTTCCCGACCAAACCCTCCACTCCAGCCACAGGACAGCAAGACAGGCTACGGGCACACCGCAAAGCCTAAATCAGGTTATGAACAGACGATGTAACACGTGGCTGCATTTTTAGTGTAGAAACTGTCCACTCATCAGACACAAAGGTGCTGTGCCCAAAATAATACTCATTTTAAAACCACGCACCATCCTGCTAGCCCTGCACTTGTCACTAGTAAATCTCATTCTTCTCTCTGCTTCCTCAGCAGATTGTTATTAGCGATTTCTTTTTCATCAGGTACCATTAAACATGCTGTTATTTTAAACACCTATTTTATTAGGAGCAGCATCCCGCGTCGGTCGGACGTGTATCGCACCTTGGCGCATGCACAGGCATTAGCCTCTGGTCTCTACACCCCATTGAACTCCACAGAAGGAATAGCTGGCCATTAATTAAGATGCCAATTAACATGTAAAACTACTGAGAAAACAACAGAAGGGGGCTGGAATTTCTTTTTTTCACTGCCAAAATTTTTATATGCGTTTAAGCAACTTTAGTTGCAGTGTTTTTCTTGGAAAGTTTGGGGGTTTCCACTCAAAGTCTCTCTCCATGAAAAAAAAGGGAGTTTACACTTGCCAAAAATTGAAGTCCCTGAAGCATGGGATTTTTAGGAAAAAACCCAAAACTCCCCAAGGTGTAATGAGTACAGTTCTTGCATTCACGAAAGGACTCGGTGTAGTTTGGAAAGATATTTTCAACTGAAAAAAATGCTTCAGTGGGAAAATTTCCAGCCACTCTGGTTGCATCTCTTCCCTCCAGCTCTGAGAGAGAGGAAGGTTTTCTTCTAGATGAGGGTGGTGATGTGTTTCAATGGATGGACAAGAAAATGCATTGCTATAGAAAAAACCTGAGTGGGAAGACGCAGTCTGAAACTTCCTACTAGGTGGGCAACCGAGGCAGGTACTGAGCATAACCGTCCCTTCCAGTGGGGACCCACGTGCCTAAATCCCGTGGGTTTCCATCGCCAGGGTTTATACAGCTCATTTTTTTTTCCTCGGAATCCTGGCCGAGCCGGGTCTCGAATCCGAGCCGATAGTCTTGGCTCAAAACTAGCACTCCAGTAACGCCGGTGGCGATGGCAGGATGCAAATACGAGCCGGTGCGCCTGGCAGTCCTGCTGGAGATTTTCTGGAAGAACTGTGTTTTCATACATTCCCCAGATCTTGCTTTATAGGCACTTGTGAGCATCTTTTTAATTTTTCTTAAACAGAGCTCCCCCTTTAATACTTGTGTATTAATACACTCGTGTATGAATACAAATATACATATATGCGTGCACACAGACCCACACAGACACCCTGATGCCGCAAATATTTGGCACGCTTAGAAACAAGGGGGTGGGTCGCAGGACCAGGACCCGGCGCACTCCAAAGGCACGAAGCGAGCTGTCGCCAGTGCCTGGGGAAGATTTCACATCTTCAGCAATCCCAGGGAAAAAAAAAAAAATTATCATCTGCAGACAGGACTGGTGAGGGCCTCCTTGCTCTTTTGCCCCTTCCCAACGGGTAGGAAGGAGCCCGATGAGATGCTCTGTGTTGAAGGGAGGGGACTGAGGTGCGCAGCAGCCCAGCCGGGAGGGGATACAGCCCGGACCGCTGCCATAAACCCTGAACGACAGCACGGCCTTTTCATGAATAAATAATTTGTGTTGCAGTTGCAGTGTGCTGGACCAAAGTCTGCCCGGAGACTTGGCGTTGGCAGCGCTCAACGAGGCGTTTGGCCCATTCCCATTGTGTGTCCCCCCATAACCCACCCACCTGAAAATGGGGTGTCTGTCCCCCCCGGGGTCTGGCAGGGGCCGGTTGCCCCTCGTCGCATCGAAGAAGCAGCGGGAGCGGGGAAGGGGAGAGCTGAAGGGATAAATAAAAATCGGGGAGCATCCCGGAGCTGCGGCGAAGGAGTGGGGGGTCTGCGGCCCTGCTGGGGGGGGCTGGGGGGGGGGAGGCGACGCAGTTCCTGTCTCTTTAAATCCTCCCTGAGCCAGGAGCCGGGAGATGAGGCAGAGCAGAAAGCTCAGGATCCTTGCTCATTAATAAGCAGGATTTATCCCCGTAGGGAGCCGGGAAGGAGGGGGGAGGCCGTGGGGAGAGCGGGG